AGACCAGCTGAGTGAGATTAAGACAAAGGAAGAAGAGCATCAGCGCAAGATCAATGACCTCAATGCTCAAAGAGCTCGTCTGCAGACAGAAGCAGGTAACACACCACCACATCTCTCTGGAATGGAACAACCTGTAACTAATGATAACAAAAAAAGGAATGAAGCTTTGCTCAAGTTGATCTAGTCTCTGTGATCTGTTATATAGTGCTTAAAAGATACATTGACTTAGTATTGATTTTAAATTGCAGTCTGCCTGTAAACTTTCTTAGGTGAATATTCACGCCAGGTGGAAGAAAAAGATGGTTTGATATCTCAGCTATCCAGAGGCAAACAGGCATTCACTCAACAGATTGAGGAACTAAAGAGACATTTAGAGGAAGAAATAAAGGTAAATGTATTTCCAGTAAGGGGGTTGACTTTGGACTGAGGTTCTGTTTTCTTTCAGGATATGTCCTACTCTCACATAAAATCAGAATGTTAGCCATATCAGTTTAATTTTTGAGCTATCAAACAAGATGGACAATTTTGCCACCTTAATCTCTAGTGTGGGAAGGGAAATTGAGGAAGACATCCTCTCCAATTTGGATACTAAGACAGAGAAAAACATTTTTAGGTCTTTATTCAGATTTATAACGGTATATAAAAAAAGATTGAGATATATCTAAAAATAAACTGTGCGTCTTAGTCTACTTTTCTGAGCTGAAAATTTAGAGTATATTTAGAGTATATTTAAAGGGATTCAACAATTTATAGGTGTCATTTAGAATTTATCCATCATCTTTCCTGAGAATACTTTCTACATTCTGATGAATGAAGTGATAAGAAAGTTCTCTATATGTGAAATCAATATGCTATTTTCCCATGGGTTGACTTTAAATGTCAGATGGAAAGACTCTTCAACCACTTCACTTCGTGAAGTTAACATTCTGCGGTCTCACAGGAAATTAATTGTCCCCATCCAATTGTCTCCCAAGGCCAAGAACGCCCTGGCCCACGCCCTGCAGTCCGCTCGCCACGACTGTGACTTGCTCCGGGAACAATATGAGGAGGAGCAGGAAGCCAAGGGGGAGCTGCAGCGCGCCCTGTCCAAGGCCAACAGCGAAGTGGCCCAGTGGAGAACCAAATACGAGACGGACGCGATTCAGCGCACGGAGGAGCTCGAGGAGGCCAAGTACGTG